TAGGGTTTAGGGTTTTGGGCTTTTTTGGGATAAAGGTATACTGTAAGTATAATAACGAATGGAATAGGGCTTTGGGATAAAATATACTATAGTTCTAATAAGGAATCTCCAAAATAGTCTAGGTAATTATTTAGGCCCGTAAAGCAACACCATGCAGTATAAAAGCACAGACTCGGACTCCAAAGCACTACTGTAACTCTAACTCAGCACAGAATCGAAGCTGAAATCGTAGGGTCGCAGATGCGACTGACGTCTCAGTTAAGGAGGATTATTGTTTAGGGCTTAGGGTTTAGGGTTAGGATTACGATAATGCTCGAGTCTGAATGATTATAGTAGTTTACTTCCTCAAGAGTCCTGGAACCTTATAACTTCCTTTTACAATACCTGTCGTCCTGATATTCAGATTTCGGGTTTTAGGGTCTTGGGGTATATAGGGTTTAGGGGTTTACGGGCTTGGGGTTTGGGGTATATAAGGTTTAGCTTTGTTTACGTGCTTGGGGTTTGGGGTATGTAGGGTTTACGGGTTTATGGGCTTGGGGTTTGGGGTATATAGCGTTTAGGGGTTTACGGGGCTTACCACAAGAACCGCCAAGGCGCGTCCCCACCTATTCCAGGTGTGATACTCGCCTCACTGAGGACAACAGAGACAGAGTGTCCAACAACACACACTCTTAGGGTTTAGGGTTTAGGGATTAGGGAGGAGGGTTTAGGATTTAGGGTCGACCCAGCTTGTACTAAAAGCGGATCCTAGATTAAGATTCCGAAACTAAAAGCGGATCCTAGATTAAGATTCCGAAATGCTCCTACAATCTGAATCCTCTACGCCCGACCTACTACAGAGGCTTACGGAAAATGCTGATGTACACCTCAATCATGTACCCTAAACCCTCTTAGGAGGTAATTGGGAGGATGAACCAAGAGTCGTGCAGCGGCCTGCTTTTTTGTGTCATTGGCTTCTAGTTTAGGGCCACGTTTAGGGCTTTCGTGACGTTGTTGTCCTACATCGGGGCTTGTTTTGGTCGGTTCTCTAAGCTAGGACCCCTCCTGTCGTTCTCCCATGCACCAAAGACTTCATCCGCGTGATTATCAGGACCGAAAAAGCCCAAAACTTTTCGGGGGGTCATCCAAAACACGAGACCCCCATAGCCTCTGCGCCGATCTCCCAAACCCTTATCCTCAGAGTCCAAGGACCAAATAAAAGCCCAAAACCCCGCAAGGCCAGCCTACAGTTGCAGTTGCTGCTATCCTGTACCCAGACCCTAAACCCTAAACCCTAAACCCTAAACCCTAAACCCTAAACCCTAAACCCTAAACCCTAAACCGTACCATAAACCCTAAACCCCTACAATCCCCTAAACCCCCAGGTTCCCTGAATCCATGGCTGCGGACGGAGTCTGCAGCCTGGCTCTACAGCTTACGGGTTTAGGGTTTAGGGTTTAGGGTTTAGGGTTGAGGGTTTAGGGTTTAGGGTTTAGGGCTTAGGGTTTAGGGTTTAGGGCTTACTTCACACCAACCCAAAGGCCAGACACCAACCCGGGAGTCCCTAAACCCCTAACCGCTTCGACACCCCTAAATCTCATGTAAGGGGCTTAATATGCCCCTTATACTATAGCTAGAATAAGGAACCCCCAAAAATAGTATAGGTAATTATATAATTACCTATACTATTTGGGGGTTCCTCATTATAACTATGGCGTAGTGAGCCCCAAAACCCTGTTCTAATGACTCAGGCCCCTATATAACAAACCCAGAACTGGTACGGCTTTGCAAGTGACGTGCGGACCCAGGACTACCACACAATAAGCGAAGGGTTCCGGGCTCAGCCGCCAAAGCAGCGGCTATGTACAGCGGCTTAGGGTTTAGGGTTTAGGGTTTGAGGTTTAGGGTTTAGGGGGTGGCAGGAATGAAAGATCCAACTCCCAATAAGGTTTCAATCAACCAGCGCTGGTGTATGGCCGAAAAAGTCGTAGGTCGCATACGGGTTCTAGGAAAGGCTGTATACAGGTCCATAAGAGGAGGTTTTTATGGTACATGAGGGAGGGTTCTACAGGGCTTCGTGTGACTTAGGGCTCAGGGAAGTTTAAGGTTTGGTTCAGAGATTGGTGTTGGCTTGGATTGCTTGGGTTCCCCTTGGGGCAAAGCGAACCATGAGGTTTGGGCGGGAGGGGGAGGCGGAGTCATAGAGCATAGCAGCACTTCAGTGTCATCAGCTCCGAGATATCTATTTTTAGCCGAAGTCTGCTTGGCTGTTAACCTGAGGGTACTATTACTAAAGCCAGAGCCACAGAAGAGCCGCCAACTCCATAAAGTTGGAAGTGCACCGCCTCCCTGACAAGGACATGTAATTACTGTTCAGCACAAATGACCGGGCGCGTTTCAAGGTCCTCTAGCCAATCGCGAGGCCGATCTTTTTGGAGGACGGTGTAAGGCGCTCGGCCTGATATCCCACCCTGCACCCCGCACTTGGGTGGATGCAACAAGATCCAGTTGATCCTCACCCAAGGCGTCCAAAAAGGCGCATAACGGGCTCCGGGAAATCTGGAATGCCGTGGATGGTTCAAGAAACCCTGCAGGCACAATCCAGCACCCACAGCGATCTCTTGAGCGCATCGAGATGGGGTTTTGTCAGGCCTTTAATCGCTTTTTTTTATCCCCTTGAGAATGAAGGTACCCTTTCCTTTTAATACTACAGGAGAACATACCTTCAATATTCGATGTTGTTCCTGCATGTTTGGTTCGGATCTTTTGCTGTCAGATTTCAGGATTTCCGAATTGGGCTTCACGTTTTGAGGTTCGGGGGTTGCGGTTAGAGTGGCTTCTGGAGTTGGGCATACGCTGTAGAATAACGGCCTTCAGAACTTGTAGGTTGGTCGTCAAGACGGCTTAAGGTTTAGGGTTTAGGGTTACTAGACCTTATCCTCATCCTATCTTGATTTCGGCTCCTTATTCTGATTTCGTTACATATGTTCCGAAAAAGGTAAGCCTTCTGGTGTTCCGGAAACCCCCAAAACCCTAAGTCAAGGGATGCAGCACGCAACTGTCGGGTAAGCTTCGGAGCTTCCAAACTCTGCGACAAGGTGCCATGGCCAGTGAGGAGCTGGATGATATAGTACTTGTTGTTGTTCCCTTGAAAATCGGGTTGAGGGTCTAAGGATGTGTAGTTTATAAGGAGTTAGGATTACGGGGACCCTTGGGAATAGAGTCTAAGAGACCCTCTCAATAAAGTCCTTTTTGACAAGAGCCATCTTGACAAGAGCCATATGTACGGTTAAGAAGGGTCCCCTTTAAAAGGTCTCCCGAGGACTACCTAGGACCCCTAAACCCTAAACCCTAAACCCTAAAACCTAAAACCTAAACCCTTAACCCTTAACCCTAAACCCTAAGCCCTAAACCCCTAAACCCTGAACCCCCAAACCCTAAAGGATCCATCAACGTCA